AGGAAAAACAAGGAGTATCACAGACTAGATAAATTTGAGCTCAGAGATCTGCTTCAGAAAGACTTTTTGTATTATACCTAGTGCGTAGCTGAATATTTTAATGTCTTAAATTACATCAGCTTCATCAGGAAGTGTCAGAAAAACTTTCCTTTCTATATAGAAAAGACATTCTACCACAACCCTGCATTGTGCAGTGGGTTGGACTAGATGACCCTGGAGGTCCCTTCCAACTCTATGATTCTATGATTCTTTTCCTGCCTTCCATTATCCAGTAAAATTCATAGTGTCTATCTCATTATCCCATGGAGTAAAGGGGTTGCCTATTCTGGTTTCTGGCTTAATGAGAACATTGGGCATGGTCTACTGTGGAGCTCCTTGCAGGCTCCGTTGCAGCACATACACAGGACCAGTTGGTTCCTGTCCTTTCTGTACTGCATTTTCTGGAATCTGCTCCAAGGATATTTTCACAGAGCTGAACTGCGTGTGACAATATGTGCCTTCTAACAAAATCCCAATGACTGGGTCTTTGAGGCAAAGCAGCTGTGATGATGATTGTGACGCAGTGGGGTGGCGTTTAATTCTTCTGCTGCTCCCCATTTTTTCTTTTCTGCACTTCTCTCCCTACTGTTTTCCCCATCACAGGACCCATGCATCCTTCCTAACATGCATCAGAAACACCATTGAGGGAAAGTGGCGGATGGGGTGGGAGAGTGGCAGTCAAGAAGTGCCACCTCAGAGCTTCACTATTCCAAATCATCTGCTTTCCAGAGTTTTATTACATGTATTGACCAGGGGCAGCAATGAAATGACAATATACAGAACAGTTGCTGCAAAGTGCACACAATTATAAGAATAATAAACAATGATTAAGCTATAATACTGATGAATTGTATGTATGGTTTTTTCATTTCTAAATTGATGTAAATATGGTTGGTAGGTTCCCTGTCATGAGTTGTAATTATTTCTTGATAGGAGACCTGTATGATAAAGAGTCATCGAAACAAACGGTAACTCGAGAAGTTCGTCCCTGTCCGTTCATCTTGATGTCATCATCCTTTGGTTGATGGTGCTTTGCTGTTAATTCCAGAGTTTTATTACATGTATTGACCATATGTAAAATTTCCATTGCTTTGCAATACAAATAGGAAAGCCATTTTGGACAGAATGCTCATTTGCACGACTGTCTTCTATTTGAACAGCCATCAGCTATTCACCTAGATGTGGCAGAGAAATTAAACATCATATATAAAAATGCTTAAAGGGTCGCACACTAAATTCCTTGTGAAACTTTAGTCTTTTGAATATTTTACATATACACTTAACTGTGGTTTTCTGAACGATTTTCAGTTTAACTAGGGCACTGTAATATCCTTTTAGAAATTAGATGTACTACAAGTTATGCTGGGACAATTCAGTTGTGGGTACAACAGTGCTGCTGTGTGTAGATGCTGCATGAATTTTCCCTTGCTAGCTATTTCTTCTGTTGCCTTTCTTCTCTCATCTCACTGTAAAAACTTGCCTTTAGCCATGTCACGCAGGAATCCCCCTACTGGAGTTGCATGTCAAGAACGAATGAAGGCCCTGGGAGGAAAGGGATTGCATGGCTCAGTGTTTGTCAGCTCCACAAAACATAACTGGCTGTGCCAAGGACACTGGAATGTTGCCACTTGGATTGGTCCTTTGGGCTCGTAAGTCAGAGCAAGTCAGTGCTTGTTTTAGCTGTTGCTGAATGACTAATGGGCGAAAAAGGTTCCGCTGACAGGGCTGATCCAGGGATTCTCTTATTGTCTACAGTCCTGTGATGCTCAGCTGATGCGAGTGCGAGAGACCAGAAATTTCCCTCGGAATCTGGAGAAAGAAATGATCTGAGACTGAGAGTATAATTGAAGCAGCACTTTGATGGCTAGCCTGAGCTGCTGAAAGCGTACATTGATTGGAATGCCTCCTTATAAGCTAACCACTAAACAGAATTCAGGCTTTTAAATTTTTGTGAGGTTTGATTTTTCACTACACTGAAGGTACCATTGGTGTGAATGTGAAAATGTTCTTGGGGAAAACCTCTTTCACCATTTCATGCAATTTTTGTACCTGTTTGCACCATTAATTCTGTTTACATCTGAAGTTTCTCTGTTCTGCTGCTGCTGTGGCAAGGCGGACGGGATGGAACACAAGTTGATTGAAGCTCCCTCCTTTGGCGTGCTGCACTGGCACTTTCATTGACTGCTAGTGCTGCTCAGCAGGGCCATTTCCACACAAGTTATTTGCCTCAGGTTCACTGTTCTTGGGAAGTAGCATTTCTCCCCTGCTTCTCCACAGCATCATGGTGCATTTGTGCACCTGCCAGTCTTCCTCAACTTTTCTCTGATCTTTCCCAAACCTGCTTTGCGGCAAAGTTTTGGCCAAGGTAGCAGAAAAGTCTGAACGGATGCCTGCCATGTCGGGTGGAAGAGTCTGGATTTTCCCAGTTCCACCCACATGGCAGCCATTTCCCTGCCCATGTCCCCATGGTAGCCATTTCCTTCCTCCACCACTAGGGGCGTTTTGGTTCTAATCTGTAATTGAATATAGTTATAACATTATAACAACCGGTATATCAAGTTCTCTGAATTCCCAATATCCATAAAAAACATATCTCCACAATGAAAGAGGCGAGAAACACTTTTTAAAAATGAATGCTGGAAATCCAGAGAACAGATTGTTATATTATTATTATTTTTGCCATCAAGTCACAGTGGACTTATGGCAACCCCATGGAGTTTTGAAGGCAAGAGACGATAAGAGGTGCCTCTGTTTCGTGACCCTGGATTTCCTTGGAGGTTTCCCATCCAAACACTTAACAGGGTCAACTCTAGCTTCCAAGGTCTGACAAGATTGGGCTAGCCTTGGTAAGGACTGCTACAACATTATGATGTTATAGTGATACTCAATTGTCAACCTAAAAGGAGGGGAGACCCTGTTTGTGTGTGTGTGGGGGGGGAAGCTGCTGCCTGAGGACTGTGGAAGCCCCATTGCCATTGTACTGTATTGGCAGCCACAGGAGCACTGGGGAAGCTACACAAGACTGTTCCTGTGTGGAAAAACCCAAGTATTTTGCCCCACCCCAGTCCTGATGATGGCATGCAGTTTGGGTGCCATTTGAATTAGAACATGTATTCAGCTTCAGATGCATTCCCATCCATAGTCTGACCAAATTGTTCCATTAGGAACCTGGACTGGGTCAAGGGAGAACTGGCCCAAGTGCTTCCTTCTTCTTCCAATACACTCTTTTGCAAAAGTATCCAAAATACTACTGAAAGCGAATGGTTATTTTATGGGAGAGGTAAACATATTTATAAAATGTACCCTTCATTCCACCTCATCTCCAGGAATTGTCCAAGCATGGAGTTCAATGGCAGAGTTGTCAACTTTTTCCCATTGAAACCAATGGGACTTAAATGTGTTTAACTTTGATTCGATTATGTCCCATTTTCATCTTGCATTTGCTTTTTGAGATCAGTCACTTAACTTTTATTGTGGGAGAATACAGATGCTTTCCCCTCAGGTTGTATTTCCATTGCTGAGAATGCTCATAACACAATACAGTGTTAATTTCTGTTGGATGATAATGGGGAATTTCACATTACCCAGTTTCACCCGGTTTCAAGCTGGCAATCATCCGTTTTGAAGTGAACTGGTACAGGGCTGCCATTTCACACAGGGCTTGCCCCTACCGGAAGTGAGCCGGATCAGAAGCGGTTTGGCATTTCAGACTTGCACAGCTTTGTTTTCCCGCCGTTTTCCTCCTGTGTGGGTGATCGTTTTTTTAAAAAAATGTTCGATTTATAGCACTATAGCAGTATAACAAAACACTCCATGCATTCCAATGGGATTGATATAATGCTATTCCGTTATAGCGCTATAAATGGAACGTTCAAAAAAACCACAACAGATGGAGATCGCCCGCACGGGCAAAAAAAGGCGGGATAAAAGCGTATCGGAACCGGGAGAGGGCACTGGAGACCACTTGGAAGTGGATGACAGGTAAAATGCTTCAGTCCCGGTTCCTAAATGGGACTGAAGCGTTTGTGTATGAAATGGCAAATAGATTCCGGAAGGGAACCGGTTCTCAAACGGGTTCTGTCTGAAATGACAGACCAGAACCCGTTTGACAACCGGTTCCCTTCCAGAATCTATCGCCTGTCTGAAATTCTCCAATGAGAAGGTGGAGCTCTGAGGTGGTGTAATGACCATTTCCTATGGGAGGGTTGGATTTTAGTTCTGGATGTTCCTTCACATAAAAAGATGCATGTAAATAGAAAACTAGCTCAGCAGAGAAAAGTTCTACCATCTCTTTTTGCTTGCTCTACTCTTTAAAAAATTCTGGGGAGTTTTTAACATAAGAAGTTTCCCAAATGTGATCCCCTCCGAAGTTCTCCTTCTGTAGTCCATTTTCCTATCTTATTCCCACTTCATTCTCCAGCATGTGTGAATGAGACATATTTTTATCTAGATTTGGGCTATTTAGTGCAATATGTGCCTCAAAGACCTTTACAGAATGTTCTTCCCTTTTCTCTCCAAAAGTTTTTTCAGGGTATAACCGTAAGAGGCTACTGCAAAGGTTATGTGTGCCTTGAAGAGAGGGGAGAGTGTTGAAAGGCATTTTAAAAATATATCCTACAAAGGAGCTTGTCATAGGCTAAATCTCTTTTGAATGCACTGTGGAATCTGAGGGAGGAAAGAAACGAGCAGGTTCATGCACCCGATAGATATCTGTTCATATAATGAAAGAAAAAGGCCTTATAAAGCACAGAAGGTACTGACATTCATTTCAAACCGTGTTCAGAGCTGTTCTCACAAGAAGCTGCTGCACTGAGGTAGAAAGGATAAAGCGGGTGAGAAACTGCATGAAATGCTCTAAGGATGAAGTATAAAATAGGTTATGAGACAGCTTTTATTGGCCTCCCTTTGCTCGGTGAAAAGGTATTACAGGCATCTGCTCATTCATCAGGCCGAACAGCAAGGTAGCAAGTTCAAATGCAAACCTTTCAGGTAATTTCAAATAGACAGAGGTAAAATCAGAAAGTGTGCATCCTAAGGGATGACCCAGCTTGATGCAGAAAATCCCAGAGTTCCTCCAATGTCAAAAAAACGTTAATAATGAAAAATGCTGAATTTTTTCTGTCTTTTAACTAGATGTAGTGATGGGAGATCTCTGAAGAGATGTCTTGTTGGTTTTTTTAGACAGCAGACAGCAGCCACATGAGGCTCCCAGTTTGGATTGCGACCAGTGGAGTGTTTAATTTGTTCCCTCCACCACTTTTGCAACTTCAGTACAGGCCCACTCCCCCATACAAATGGTGGTTTCAGAGGGCAATCTGAAATCACAAAAACGGTTCAGAGGAAAGGTGCAGGAAAAACCTCCTTTCATCTGCACCACGGCTGTGCTCCAAATCAGTGTCCAACCCCACCAGGCTGTTTGTAAACTGGAACACAGGACAAATGTACAGATCTCACATCATTAAACCTTCGTCATCTCATGTCAGAGACAGTCCTATGCATGTGGCATTTAAGCAAGAAGGCAGATTGGTTCTCTCTGCTGATTTGTCCCTCCCCTCCAACCTTGTAGTTCCTGTCCTATCAGGCTGGGCACTATTTCACCACATTGTACACGTAGTGAAACAGACACACGAGCGTTAGTACCAGTATGAACGTGGGCCCGAATCCAGATATGCTTAAATCCGATTGAAATCCCTACAACAAGTTAGTCATTAATATCAGTTTAATTTAAGCCCACCTAACTTGCTGTCGATCAGGGCTGGACTTTCCTTTCGTTTCCTGAAGTGGTATCTCAAGAAAAAATGCCAGTTATGATGGCCTTCTGTTGCTGTTGCCTTCAGCATTAGCTTTGTCTTGATGTGCATAGTGGAATCTACTTCTGTGGCTTAAAAAAAACAGAACTTTCATCCCATCATTCTGCATGTGCGGTTACATCATGCCTGAAGTGTTCTGTAAACAAATAACCTGGATGCCAAAATTGAAGGAATTAATAGAACAAGAAGTTAAAAACAGTAGTGGTTTATTTAAAGGTCTTCATAAATTATTATGTGCATTTTCTATAGAGAAAAGTTTAATAAAATGAGTAAGGCTACAGACACCTGAGGGCAATGGCAAAACCCCTGATGACTTTATGGAATTAATATTCAGTACAATCTAGTGACATGTGGTTGGGACCTTGCCTTCATGATGAACTGAAATCCTATCATAGCTAGTAGTGTCACCACTTTCAGTGAGCGAATCCAATGGCTTCAGAATCTATTAGTTGCCTCCTCACTCCCCACCCCATGATAATGGGGGTCACATTTTTACTGTGGCAACATTTAGGCATATGTTTTTATGATAGTATATTTGATCTATTTTTCTTTGTTTTAAACTGTTTACACAGTTCTGAGCCCGCTTTGTGGGGAGGGCAGTATAAAAATTCAGTGAAACAAACAAACAAACAAATACTTGGTGCCTGTATAGCATTTTCAAGCTTTGTAAGTAATACACTGTCATTTTGTAATGTTTGCAATAAATCTGTAAGGAAGGCATAATTATCCCTACTTTACAAAGGAGTGTATGTGGGGGGGGGGTACTGAAGCTGTGAAAGAAGTTTCTTTAAGATTAGCTAGTGAGTTCATAGCAAAGATGTGATTCTCAGTTCACAGCTTTTAGCCTCTAAACTGCACCTGCTGGTATACAATAGCTGTACACTAATAATAGCCATTATTCAGAACAGATCCAAATAAGTACCAAGATTCAAATCAGGCTAGAATAGGTTACTGTTTATTTTTTTAAAAATCACTGGTTAGTATATAGGAGCTGAACTTGCGGTTGTCGGGAATTCATTGTCTAGGAGATTTTTTTTTTAAAAAATGCAGTTGACAAATTTGACATTTTGGGGAAAAATAGACTGTGAAAAATTTTAATAATGCAGAAAGGTAAGAAACAAAGTGTAAAGAACACAACAAGACACGCAGCAGGTACATAGAACTACCACAGGAAGTACTGACAGGAAGTTTTGTCGTATTAGAGAAAGATACAGCTTTTCTCAATATAAACAGAAAACCCTTGTTCAATTTCCTTTCAAATTTATCTTAAATTCTGACAAAAAGCAATTATTTATTATACAGGTCTCTTTGAGATACACGAACAACATGTTTTGTTTATTTTTGCTCATACAGTGAGTTATGATAGATATAAGATTAGGAATGATTTAAAATGACTTAAAAGAGAGCAGGGGGGAAAACCCACACCAAAACATTTGCTCATGTCTGTGTTGTGAATGAGTATCATGTTCAGCTTTGGGATGGGTACCACTTACAGAGATATCTATATATATAAAAGAAAGTCCCCTTACAGTAAAATCAACACCCAGGCCAAACCACTGGACCTAGAGACACCAAATTTGGGGAGAGCGCTCCCACTGTGGCATAGGTGCTCGCTAAGAAGGGATTTTTAGAAATTCTACCCCTAAGTGGGTCAAAAGGGGGGAAATGTGCTCCCCCCACTGATTCCTATGTGGCTGCCAGGCAGCTGCCTCCCTGCCCCCCCCACTCTCTGATTGGTCAGCTGCAGAGCTCAGTGTTAGGTTAAAAAACAAACAAACCAGTTACAGGGGACTGCAGATAGCTAATGACAGTTGAGAAAATCAGGAGTGGCCAACAACCACCTGTGAGGTGAAGCAAAGCTGCTGGCCCAGCCTCTCTGATGGCTTCCAACACACTCCACCCACCTCCTACAGCTAACAGGTGGTTGTCCGTCAGGTGCAACAGTGGTTGCAGGGTGCTTAAAGCCACGAGGGAGACCACCCTATCCATAACACCTTAGTGATCCTGCCGGCCCCGCCTCCCAGTGGCTTCTAATACTCCTCCCCCTCCCCCTCCTACACTGGACAGGCAGCTGCCTGTCAGGTGTAGGAGAGGAGGTGAGATGCTTACAGCTGCTGGGGAGGTTTGCTCAACAGGATTGCCTTAGCACTGCTGCTGGCCCAGCCTCCCCGATGCCTTTAAATACAATCCCCCCCAACACCAGACAGGCCGGTGTCTGTCAGGTGTAGGAGCAGGGCCAGGGTATGAACGTTTATGGAGTGATAGTAAAGGACATTTCTGGGAGCCATTTCGATGCGTGCCTCCCTCATGAACCTGAAGAAATGTCCACCACATCACCACTCCCTCACACCAACTTCCCCTCACACCTCTCACCTCTTACTGCCCCCAAGAAAGCTCCTGGCAAACGTCAAGCCAGATACACCAACGCTACAAGGAGGAGGCAACTTAGGAATGCGACAAATACATTTGCACATAGCACTCCTGCAGTGCACTGAGCTGCACAGGCCAAGTGCCAGCAAGATCACCCTGAGGTGCTCAGAACAACACAGTCTCCATATGAGCAAAATAATCCAGGAACACAAGTAGAGAGGCCATCACTTTCATGGAAGGTAGCAGGAGCTGACTTAACAGAGAACTGCTTCTTAAATGGACAGTTCTATGTGGCCTGCTCCAGAGTGAGCTCATCAAGCAGCCTGGAGATCCTAGCACCTGAGGGCAGAACCACTAATGTGGTCTAGAGAGAGGTCCTTCAGTAGAGAGAGAAAAAAGTACGTGTGTCTCATTTCATTTCTTACACTACAATCTTCTCTGTTAGAATTCCTACAACAAATGTCACATTTCAAATTTCACATCATCAGTATTATAACAGTGAAGCACGGGTATCAGGCTAGTTAGAACATAAGAGAAGCCATGTTGGATCAGGCCAATGACCCATCCAGTCCAACACTCTGTGTCATACAGTGGCCAAAAGCCAGGTGCCATCAGGAGGTCCACCAGCAGGGCCAGAACTCCAGACGCCCTCCCACTTTTGCTCCCCAAGCCCCAAGAATACAGAGCATCACTGTCTGTCCCAGAAATAGTTTTCCATTTATATCTTGTGGCTAATAGCCACAGATGGACCTCTGCTCCATTGAGCTATCATTATGAGGCAGTGCAGCATAACTCTTACATGGTATTTATAATTTTGTATTATTTTATATTATACAGTATTTATATATGATATTATTATGCAATTATATATTTTATAGTGTTGTTTAAATTGGCATATCCCTTTGATGGAAAGATGGGGCTAAAATTGGTTGTATGTAAATGACTTAGCTTGTTGCTTTACCTTATTTAAGCTGTGATAGGCTTTCTGTTCTAAGCAGTGTTCATGCTGTGCTGCTGAGATACTTTTATAGTGGCATGCTAAGCACAGATGCACCCTTCTATGCCCACTGAATTTAATGGTCCACCAAGGTGAGTGGGGGGGAGGCAGTGTTGAATAATTTGAAACTCAGTAAATGCCAGAATTATGGGCACAGTTCAGTGCTTAATTCTCTCCAGCTGAAATCAATGGGACTTCAAACTGCTTACTATGGCTGAATTAGGCTCTATGAGTTTATTTATAACATCAGAGTTTCTAACCTAGGGCTATTCTTTAAGTATTAGCCTAAAATGAATAGCAAGTAGTCCCAATTCTATAGGTGTCTGATTCAGATGAATGGTATCTTTGACTAACCATTAAAATTCAAATAGCGGCACATACTAATGAATACCGTAAACTTAAAGTGGCAGCTTGTATAGTTATTCCTTCAGCCTAGTGACTAATCTAGTGAACAGAATGGAATGACACACAAGCATTTGTCAGACCTCAGTCAAGCTGTCTAGGTTTGTTGTTGTTTTTTAAATGCATATACTAGTCTTATTGTTTTGATGTTATTTTTTTGTCTCCTGTAGACCTTCCTCCTTAATATTTTCATTATGTTCTAAGTAACAAATCAATGTAACACAGTCCTGTTTTTGTAATAAAGTGGATTTTTTTGAAATATCTGAACTGTCAGTGGTGATGTGTAGGACTCCAGGTGCTCCTGCTCATGGTTTTGTGGAAGGAGATGACTTTAAATATGGGGCCCAGGTTTACTTCAAGTGCAACGCGGGCTACACCTTAAAAGGCAGCCATGTTGCCTACTGTCAGCTAGATGGGAGCTGGTCAACACAACATCCTGGATGTGGTAAGGCTGCTTTATGTTTCTAATTGTGCATCAACCACTGTATATTCCTTTACAGAATTTAGTGGGACTAATATAATAAAGAGCAAGGCCAGTATTTTGTTTTGAGGTTGACAAATTTAGCAGCTTGACAGTGATTTCACTGGTCTCTATATAGTATGCAGAGAAGAAAGAAACAACCCCTGCAACAACTGGTTGCCAGCTTGGGAAGAGGAGAATCTCCACTTGCCATAAGCCTTGGGTAACATGTGATCTGCCATGGGGATCTCAAGGTATGATCTTTGGCAAGGCATCTGTGCTGGCTGTTGAAACCAGAGGCCAGAACAGGCGCAGAGAGTCTTCTGAATCTGTGGTGTTTTCTAGAGAGACTAATACATAAACATGTATTTAATGACATGCTTGCTATTTTAACTTTCTTATATGCATTCTTCATACATTTGTAGAAAAGTAATTGTGCAATGGCTGAAGGTTCACACATTTTTAATGTATGAGTGGTAGTCTGAGCCACACATCTGCTGCACGAGTTTCAGTATTAAAATCCAAGCCTTAAAATCCCTTTAAGATTTCATGATGTAAAATGCACCTATTTACAACTTGACCACTTGCAATATTTGGATTGGTAATTGCCCTGCTTCCCCATGCTTAATAGCATATCCCATTATCCTTCTCCCTCAATAGCTGCTGTCTTTTCAGAATTCCATAAGAACATAAGAGAAGCCAATGTAGGATCAGGCCAATGGCCCATCCAGTCCAACACTGTCACACAGTAGCCAAAAATACCAGGTGCATTCAGGAGGTCCAGCAGTGGGGCCAGGACACTGTTGCCCCCCCCCCCAAGCACCAAGAATACAGAGCATCACTTGCCCCAGACTGAGAGTTCCTGTCTATAACTTGTGGCTAATAGCCACTGATGGACCTCTGCTCCATCTGTTTATCTAATTCCCTCTTGAAGCCATCCATGCTTGTAGCTGCCACAACCTCCAGACACTGTCCAATTGCATACAGATCACTCATTTCCAATACCACCAACAAGTATGTGATACATCCTAGGTTCTGCTTTGGGGAATGGATCAAATACTTGACCTTGATCTTTCCCCTCCCCAAATCTCCTTCTCCATCTTCAGTATGTATTTGTGCAGGGAAGTTCAGTATAAAGGGCACCTAATGTCTGATTTGAGTGGATGCTGGGTTCATTTGGGTTACTGGAGTTTGACGATCACTGAGCACTTTATGTGATTTAGGACTGGTTTTTAAATTGTATAGTATGTTTTTAAAAAGTTATAGGTATACAAGAGGGGGACCCGCGATACTCACGGGGGGGGAGAGAAGAGCCCCGTCTCCTCCATCCCCCCATCTCCCCGAGGCGGCGGGGGCGGCGGCAGTGGCCAGGCCAGTGTTCGCCCCCCGCCCCCGAGCGAGGCCTCTCTTCCCCCGCACGCGCAGGAGACTCTCTTGCACTTTCAGGGGGATTTAAACATCCCCCCGATTTTTTTTTAACTTTTTTATTTTTGTGCACATGTGGGGACTGCCCCACATGTGCACAAACCTCCCCCTGCCCCCCAAGTGCCCCCAAAGTGCAGATATAGATATCCGCACGGAGGGGGCAACTTGGGTATTAGTATAAGGATGTTGTTTTATTGTAGCAAGTGTATCTTGCCTTGTAAGCCGCCCTGAGCCCTACGGGGGAGGGCGGGGTATAAATTTGATAAATAAATAAATTAATTAATGCAAACAACCTGGAGAAACAAAGAATAAGGTTTATGAAATGTATTACACAAACAGACTATTTGTATGTATTGAAGTGATTTTCCATTTTCCTTTCCAGTCAGCATTTCCTTTTCGTTGCTCCTAAAGAAAACACAAAAACCTGAATTTTAGGTGCATCAGACTTTCAAATATAATATTATGGATTCTGACAATTTTAGTTTTTGTTCATGGCTTGAACACTGTTGGCTACAATGGCAATTGATCAGTCATTCAATTATTACAAACTCTGCAATTTATGAGCATTCAAATTAATAGCATCTTTAGTAAGCAGATCAAGTGATTGTAATCACAAACTATTAGAATGCATGGCCAGATCTTACCACTTCCATGGTGTAGCTATGTGATATAATGGTCCAACAGAGCATTACTTCTCCAAATGACTTTCTTGCATTGGTCAACATGCAGGTGTACTTATTTGTTCTTACAGCGATATATGCCAATTTTAAAGTTAGTATATTTGCTTCTCTAATGTCTGTAAAAGAATCTTGACAAAAGGTAGCAGTATGCCTACCTGTATCTCAGTGTATGCACAAACTACCAAATGATCTGGTGCTCAGGTTATGCTTTCCACTTGACAAAAAATAATAATAACATTTCCCCCACTGCTAGTTATAGAAGACAGAAACTGCTCCTATCCTGGTGCTCCACTCAATGGGTATACAAAAGTGGTGGAAGATGGTTCTCTGATGAACAGCCGTTATGCAAAAATTGGAACGATCATTGCATTCTTTTGTAATAATTCCTATATTCTCAGTGGTAACGAGCAAAGGATCTGTCAAGAGAACGGAGAATGGTCAGGGAAACAACCAATCTGCATTAAAGGTAGTTAACAGTCTCTTTCTTTCAACTCCTAAAACCAATACCTTTTTTTAAATACTGGTTTAATTTTATAGCTGATTTTATGGATGTTCAAGCTGTTTCCTAACACATTTCAATAAAAGTGTCAAGTGGCACCTGATATAGAAGCAGAGAGTTTGCCAAACCTCCTCATCTATTGGATTCAGTCAAGAAAATTAGTAGGGACTCCAGAAGAGTTCTAGTTGTTGTGGTTGGTAATTGTACATTTTCTCCAAGACCCTTGTGTCAGGCACTAAAATGGAGACATTTCAGCTCCTTGGCAGTTCGTCACCTGGTAGGACTATAAAGGTTTCTCAATCAGGTTTGGCCTTTGCAAAGTTTTCCCTTAAGCCCAGTCTTGGGGACTCCAGTTTCCTGATTTCCATTCTGCTAGCAGCATCACTACACTTCCTACTAGATGTGCTAGAGAGCCAGTTTGGTGTAGTGGTTAAGAGTCGCAGACTCTAATTTGGAGAACCAAGTTTGATTCCCCAAGTCTCTGTGTAGAGCCGGCTGGGTGACCTTGGGTCAGTCACAGTTCTCTCAGAGCTGTTCTCTCAGAGCTCTCTCAGCCCCACCTACCTCACAGGGTGTCTGTTGTGGGGAGAGGAAGGGAAGGAGATTGTAAACTGCTCTCAGAGTCAGAGTGAAGGGCAGAGTATAAAACAACAACAACAACTCCTCCTTCTGATGCTGAGGAACTGGAAAATTATTTTTCTATAGAATTGCCAGATGTTATTTTCTAGAAGTAAAATATAGTTTGAAAGTGAGCTATTTTTCTAAAATCTGGTTTTAAGATCAATTTTTAATATTCCCTTTACACCTTCATATAATTTCCTGACATCATTACTGCCCAGTTAATACGAGAGAATATACTCACTGAAACATTTATATAGATCTTAAATTTTACAGCCATATAGTGGCTTTTATTCAAAACCCTTTTGCTTTTCACCAATTATTGTAAAATGCTCCCTCCTGTTTCTGAACTTAATTAGACTTCATGAGACAAACTGAAGACAAAATTGGACATTGGCAAGGGTGGGAGTGGGCCTTTGGAACTGGCAGGGAGCCCCTTTTTTGTATAGGACTCCCGGATTCAAGAACAAATGAACTGTAGTCATTTATTTTAGGCCAACAATCCAACAGCTTTATTAAGAGACATAACACTGATAGAGAAACTGACAGGAATAAGGGGAGAAAGTCTAATGATGGCATATAATTCCAGTTAAAAACACGAGGGCTCTAAATTTAACTCTTTAGCATTCATGTTAATACATGTTTCTCTTTCCATATCTCTCTCACACACCAGATCTTTCCCTCTCCCTTTGACTATGTATATTCATTGACAGTATCCCCTAAAAATTGCCTGTGAATAAAAATGTACTTTATTTGTGGATTTTCCACTTCCCACCAAAGCAATTTCAACCCATCTTGTTTCCACTTTAATCAGAATCTCTTACAGTAGCACCCACGATCCAGCATCTTGGTATGTTCTGTGTACTCTACCAAAATATCTATGATTCAATCAATTTCCCCCCAAAATTAGTTTAGATTTAATAAAGTTTACCTTTGATAGCAGCCAACGTAGATAGTGCCAAAGCAGACAGCTGATAATTATTATGTAGTGAAGCAGTAACTCTTGAGGTCGTACATGGAGAAACAACACCCTAGGCATAGTTAAACCCAGGCATTTCTACCATGCCTGAGCAATCAGATGCTGGAACTCTCCTAAGCAATTATATGATCCAATTTAACAGATGTCAGGGTTTGGCTTAAACTTATGACCCTTTGCCTGTCATAAAAATCTGGGCTCACAGACTAATGGAAAAATGTTGTGACATTTAACACTTCTATAGGAAATGAGGATTGTATATTAGAACGTGAAGCTTGATTCCTATGTCCAGTTACAAAAGAATTTCAATGACACTTAATGCATATATAGCTGTGTGCAAAAACATAGCCTAAGAAGGCATGGGATTCCAAAGAGTAAGTGCTGAACTGGAAGCAAAGCTTTATTGGATTGTAATCTAATGCTCTCTCCAAAGAAACCACTTGAAATTTTGTCTTGGAATGTAGCAGGGTGGTCGCGATGCCTTCACTCATATATAGATGTCCCTTTCTTTCAACATGATTCTGACATTATTATTTTACAGGAGACCTGGTCAGCAGAAACTTTACATTTAGATGGATACTATTCTAATAATTTAGCGACTACGCCAGGAAAAGGCTCAGGAAGATTAAGGGGAGGATTGGGTATTTTTATTTCTAATTAATTCTCTTAAGGGTCACTGTGTATTGAAACCCTCTTTGGACCACTTAGCTATGGCCTTATTGGTGAGATGGGAGAAGGGAAATATAATTATAGTAAACTAGGGAAAAGGCCCGTTGTGGAAATAAATACAACGACCTCTAGAAAGAAGCTCCATGTCAATTTGCTGTGGCGACCTCAGCAGGGTATAATGACACTGAGTCCACCATTTTCTCCAGAGGAACTGATCTCTGCTTCCTAAAGACAGTTGTAATTTTGAGTGATCTCCAGCCCTCACCTGGAGATTGGCAACGATGGTTACCCAAAAGGGAATGGTTGGTTTGGAGGGTGGATTCTATGGCTTTGTGCCTGTCTGAGGTCCCACGCCTCCTGAAACCTCACCCTCTCCAGGCTCCATCCCTCACATCTCCAGGAATTTCCCATCTGGAGTTGGCAACCCTATCTCCTTCCCAGACAATCATCAACCTACCTTTATTTCCCCCTCACTCTTCAGCTTTCTACCCCCCCACACACCTGCAGCCTCTCTCGTGCTCTGAAGCCCTGACTGCTACGTCACATTGACTGTCATACGGGGGCCACCTCAGCAGCGTATAAGGATACAGAGCCCACCATTTTCTCCAGGGGAACTGATCTCTGCCATCTGGAAAGCACTTGTAATTCCGAGTGATCTCCAACCCTCATCTGGAGATTGGACACATTTTACCTCAGAACAGCAAACTGTTTAGAATGTTAGAAGCAAAAGCCAATCAAGTCGCATATGCAAATGACCTCTCTGTTCCGAGGCAAAGGCCAATGAGGCTGCATATGCAAATAACCTCTGTGTTCTGACTGGCTATTGGGGGGGAGGGGAACAGCAAACTGTTTAGAATGTTGGAGGCGAGACTCAAGCAATGCAGCCAGTGGATAGGGACAGATTCTGAGTGACACACCAGGGCGCCAACCAATTCTGGAGCATGTGGAATGTTCTAGAGAAGTTCCACCACCATTCGGCTTGTATATATAAGGGAGATGCTTATCTTCCAGCCCTATCGAAAAAGTCACTCACTGAGGAAAACTGGATAGTACTAGACAACTTTATTACAGACCTTATACTTGAACATCCAGAAGCCCAAATTTTATTGGCAGGTGATCTAAATGCTTGCTTGGGACAAAATGATGCTGTATTAGCATCTAAATCAAACTTCTTAATAGAGGGTCAGGAACAGGATCAAGTAGGGTTGCCCTTTATGCGAATATCTAAAGATGATGGAGTGAACTTTGCAGGGGTCTGCCTGCCTAAACTGGCATAAAGCAAACAGCTTTATATATTAAATGGGGCCTCCCAAAGTGATCATCCTGGGGAACATACCTTTGTAGCAGGAAATGGAGCGAGTTCCATTGATTATATCCTGGTGTGCAATACATTACTCCCTATGATCAAAACCTTCCAGGTACTCCCATACCTGGAAGGTGACCATTTACCTTTATGTTTACAGATAGACATTCCTTTGAACCCAAATATTCAAGAGGCCCAATATCCACCAAAAGTAGAATGTCTGAGGAAAAGATTAAGATGGGATAGTAAATTAGATAAAAAAGTAAATTTTAACATCCGAAAATTGGCAGAAATATACATCAACAGTTATGAACCCTGATATAATTCAAGACCCCTTAATAGATTACCAGACCTTCTTTCAGGAGCTTAATTCTATTTTGGCGGGCCCAGTAGGGAATAAATCATGTCAACACCACAGAAATAACAAACCTTGGTTTGATTCTCAATGCTGCCATGCAAAAAAAGGAGTTAAATTGCCTATATTTTCTCTCTTTGAATAATAATCCAGAAAGAAAATCTGAAACCCAAGTAGCTTTACTGAAACAGAAAAAACTATACAAATGTATTATCCAAAGGAAAAAGAGAGAACATATGCTGAGATTATGGGACGATCTTTTATTGGCAGTAAAGCAAAATAATTCATCTTTATTTTGGAAATTAACTAGTATCCGGGGATCCAAAACGCCCTCACCCCTAGATACTCACATATCAGCGGGTGGCTGGACAACTTTCTTTCAAAATTTGTATGATGACCATAAGCAGTCCCCCTTTTCGGGAACTATAGACAATCTCCCTGTATAGTCGCCAGTAAGGGTGTGCAAAAAAATTTTTTTGGCCGATTCGGATTCGGCCGAATTGGGCAGAATCAATTTTGGCCGGCAGTAAGACTCCTGCATGTCAGTTTCATCAGTAGGAGCCATTGGGGAGTCTTTGGCCAGCTGAATGTCAATTTCAGCCCCATCATATCCTATGGGCCATTGAAGTCAATGGCAAAACATAGGGTATATTCTTGGGGCTGGAGGGAGGGGGTTTGAGGGAGAGGCTCCAAACTCACAGGGTAGCTGCTGGAGCCTCTCCCCAAAATACCCATCACATTTCAAGGACATTGAACCAGGGGGTCCAATTCTACGGGCCCCCAAACAGGTTGCCCCATTCTCTCCATTGTTCTCTATGGTGGGAACAAAAGTTATGTTTTTTCCACGGTAGCTTCGGGAGCCTCTCCCCACATAAACCCCCGTGTCCCAAAGCAATTGGACCAGTGGGCCCAATTCTATGGGCACCCAAACAGGTTACCCCCATTACCTCCATTGTTTCCAATGGGGAAACCCAGCCAGCAGCACTTAAGGCAGGCAAGCAGGCAGCACCCAACAGTCAGACTCTCCCAGAGAATCTCAGG